CCCTCCTCAAGCCCGCAGCCCCTTCCCTCACCAGATGAAGTCGGTGCAGTGGCTGCAGAAGGTTGGCTGCTTGAAGAAGCGGGCGGTGAACTTGTGGCTCTTGACTTCGTGGACCACCTTCTGCCTCAGAGCCCCCTTTCTGCAAAACAGGGGCCGGGGTCCCCCCTCTGAATCGCCTCCGCCGGGGCCCAGGCCTGCCATGGCCCCAGGAACGTAGCAGGGACCAGGATCCTGCCTTTCTGGGGAAACAGGTGGAAGGGCGAGGAGCCGGAGACTCGGGAGAGCACTGAGCCACGGGGAGATTGCGAGGAGGGAAGGAGAGGGGCGAGGCACCTCCAGGCGCGGAGCGCAGGGCAAGGAGCGGCACCCCGGGGCGCGCCGGCTCCGCCAGGGGGAGCGGGCGGGCAGGGCGGAGAGCCGAGGGCAGGGGCGCCGAGGAGCCGGAGGCAAGGGCGGCGGCAGCGGCGGCGGGAGCTCCAGCTCAGGCACCTGCTGAAATGTGGGAGCCCCGGCTGGGGGGAGGCGTTGCCATGACGACCGAGGGGCGGGGTTTCAGTTTAAAGGCGTCCCCCCTCCCTGAGACTGGGGACAAATGCCCTCCCCCCCACACACACACGTGCGCACACCCACTCCGGGGGCTGGCTGGGGGGAGGGGGCATCCTCTGAGCGGTGCCCTGCCCCCACCTCCTTCTGTCACCCGGACCCGGGCTTCCTCCCCACTAGGCGCCTCGGTGGGTCCCGTGAGCCCGCTGAGACTCCACTCGGATCCCTGGGCTTCTGACTGTGTCACTCTGCTTCATTACACAAACTTTGTATTCAGTGCTGGGGCCCCGGTGGTGAACGGGGAGGCCCGCTGTCTCTCTCTGCTGCTCTTCAAGTCTTGATTTCTCTCTGGGCCTGGGTGAATGTGTATGTCTGTGTCTCCCTCTGGGATTGTCTCTTGTTCTCAGTCTCTGTCCCTGTCCAGTGTTCCTGGCTCTCTGTCCTGTGTCTCTGTCCCTGTCCAGTGTTCCTGGCTCTCTGTCCTGTGTCTCTGTCCCTGTCCGGTGTTCCTGGCTCTCTGTCCTGTGTCTCTGTCCCTGTCCGGTGTTCCTGGCTCTC